TGATAGCAGAGTGGTAGTGACTAGGTTTAAAAAAGTAAGAACCAGATCTAATCTCTCCAAGTCAGTATCCTGCTCTTCCAGTCAGCCACAGGTGCAAACCCCTGCACATACCTCTGAAGCAGCAAAACTGCTGGTCAGTAGACGGGAAAGAAAAAGCTAGCTCCTGACATTGCTGATGTAGAAGAAAAGGAAATCTTTTAAATCAAGCAACATGAAGACAACTTTTAGACCCCATGTTTACTATGAGCAGCTGAAAGAAGCACCTTCTAAAAGTGTTATATGAACTCAGAGCTGGTTATTGAGATGTGTCCTGAAAGCACTACGCTGGCTGCATGCTCCAGCTCTCTCAAGACGTGGGTCTTTTGAAACCTTCTCCAGGCTAGAGTGGGAAACTGGAAAAAGTCCCTTGTATGCTGACATCTTTCTTTCGTATCCCTTCACAGCCTGCTTTTGGAAATACTGCATCTGAAGTCTTGTCGGGACTGGAGGATGAAGATGAGCCCTTCCCCAAACTGCCTTGCTGGGTATTAACATGTTAAGAGTTTGTCCTGTTCCCTCATCGTGCTGCTAACCTGGAAGCCATCCTCCATGACTGCACCACAGCCAAGTCTAGCAGGGGCCGTGATAGGAGCTGGCAGCCCACTGCCACTCTCTACCTTTCCTTTCTTCCAGGTTTAACCTGCCACGATCTTCTACTCAGAAGATGCTTCCCAACTTTCTGTGCTGTCCTGTGTGTGCCATTCAGGCTGCTGCCGCTGCACATTCTCCCCTTCTCACCAGGTCCCCTGAGGCACTGAGCACGAACTCAGCTTCCCCGGGTTTGGGCTCTGCCCACACCTGCAGACATTGCTCTCAGCCGTGCCTGGGTTTCCTGAGCAGGTCTGTGCTGCCCTGGTGGCCGCTGCTGGGACAAGAAGACAGGCTGGGTGCGATGTGGAGGGCTCAGGGCCGGATTGCTGAGCCAGAGCTGCTCCTCGCCGTGTCCCACCGTGTGCACAGGGGAGGGCAGGCACTGAGCTCTGGATCCTTTGGATACCATTCCAATAAAGATTTTCTGTTGCACAGAAGCATGTGTTTCTCAGTATTTGCTTTCTCGGCCCCTGCAGGGACCTAAAGTGCAGCACGTTTCCCTTGATGTTGGCTCCTGTTACCTTAATGGTTCATGTGGAGTTCACAATGGAAGAAAGGCTCCCATTAAACACCTAGGGTTTTAATGTGCCTGAGAAACAGACCCTTTCTTTTGGCCAGGATCAGGAATGAGAGCTGGGTCTTTTTCATAGCTATTTATGGGATACTGTCCTCATTGGACTGGACCAGACCCAATGTTCTCTACCTACTCACCCCAAAAAGATGTTTTGAACAGAGATTTTTGGTTCATCTGGCTGGTCAATGCAGGTGCTTGCTGGCCTTTTCTACTACAGAATTATATCTGGCCCTGTCCAAAAGAAAAAAATCACAACCCATTAGTGATTCCTACATATATTCATGTCAAGTCACATTACCCACATTTATTTGCAAAAGCAAAGAACCTTATTCCAGAAAATGTAAATTCAGAATAAATCCCAATGTTACCTTCGAGGTTTCCAACAACCTAAATGAGGGCAGGATCAGGTAGCCACTGTGAATGTGTGGAATGACTTTGACTAGCATTGAACTGTCTCTCTAGCTCTGTTGAGCCCTGCAGCTTGCATATTAGATATTCTTCCAAATGTTACCTCTCCCAAAGCTGTAATTGCCATCCTACGCTCATTGCCTTGGGCTCTGGCAAGAAGCACACCTTACCACAGCAGTACCTTGCATGCACTTCATTAACAGGAGACCTATTCATCCTGTTGCAGCCAAAGCCAGCGTCTAGGGAATGAGGCCAGCTTGCTTGATTATATCAGTGAAGTCTAATGACATGCAAAATACAGTTTCCTGTTACCATTAGTTGTTTGTTATTTCTTTAGTGGTGATTCAGAACCCATTTCCCATTTGTTCTTTGTTGCTTTTGTGTGAGTGAAAAGGTATGTGGGAACACACTTTCACATAGCCTCACACTGGCACCAAATCCAGGAAAAAATTCTAACCTATGGACAAGAATAGTCTCTCTCTCTCTTTAAAAGTTTTGTGCTCCAGCTGAAAGGGAGGTGTGTTCCAAGAGTTGCACCGAGTGCCCCAAGGTGGTGTTGAGCTCAGATGACTTCAGCTTGCAGGAAATCCCAGTGGAAGGAAAGGTCAGAGCAGGAGGCTCCATCTGCCACCTGCTTGCTGTAGCCATGCCTTCCTGAGCCGGTGTGACAGCTCGTCAGCAAGTCAGGAAAACGAATACTGTGTCTGCAGATATGTAACAGCTTGCTCTGACCATGGACAGGAGTTCCCTGGAGTGCAGTGCATCATGCTGCTTAGCAGTGATTTTCTGCTACATCCTATCAGTGCGGTTATTTAAGTGCTTGTGGTACCCAAACTACCCCCTATTTCCTGACAGGCACTTTGTCCTGCTGTATTAGCTGCTTCTGCTGCAGACATCAGCATGTATTGAATGCAATTTATTAACTAATTAGAAGCAGAGGTGGTGGTGTTTCCCCCGGGCTTACTCTCCACATGGCAGTGTGGGGTCCTGTCCTTTCTCCTAAACACGCAGAGCAGAAACCCTTCTCCTCCAGAGAGTGGCTGCTCACACCCTACCCATGCTTGGGCAGTCACTCTTGCCAAAGTTAATGACCCACAGGCAATAATTAAAGGGATTTCCCTGAGACATTCTAGTAGATCATGTGGATTTATTAGGAGAAAATCCTCAGACATCTGAATGGATTTGCAAATCCAAGCAGCACAGGGCAAGTCTAGTGTGCAACGGATGGCACAGTTTATCCTCATTTCACATTTGCTGATCTCCTTGCTATGCACTATGGCTGGAGCCATCCTACATTGACTAAAATTGTGACAAAATTGTGGTGTTTGGCCTTTCAGACATCATCAGATTTCCAGATTTTAAAGAGTGCTTCTTGAGCCACAGGAAGCCTCAGTGTGCTCAGTGATGGACGAGGCAAAAGAACAGAAGGACTGTTGCTTTCTCCCAGGTAATCCACACAGTGGGGTGGAAGCAGGACTGAAGCTTCCAGCTCCCAGTTCTACCAACACCACCAGAAACCCCTCTGTCCTGCTTCGCTTTCACATTTCCCTTCAGATGAAGGTCATTTCTGCACATAACTTTCAGCCTTTAAAACCCTACTTTTTTTTGAAGCCCCAGCTAATACCTGCCAAATATTAAATACTTCTATGATCTAGCACTGTCTTTGCAAGGCTGCTGTGTTTGCACTAGATTCTTCTGGTCTCAGTCTCCAAAAATATGTCAGGCACTGACTCTGTCCATGGTTCTTTTGACTGGCAGCTGTTTGAGTGCTCAGGTCACCATTTCCATAATCTGCCTGTGCCCCATACATATGGCTGCCCTGCAAGCAGATTATCTGCAGCCTGTCTGGATGAGCTCAGTGCAAGAAGATAAAAGTTCCCTAAACTGCAAGGCAGGCTCAGGATGGGTGGTGGCAATGCACTGCAGAGGACTGCCTGGGACTGCGTTTGCAGGCTTGCTTCCAGCATGGACTGAAACTCTTGAGTCAGGCAGTCTACATGCACCCACCGGGCCCAGCTCTCAGACCCCTCAGCTGGAAGCTTAAAGGCAGAAAATTAGCAGCATGACCAGGGGAAAAACAGGAAGCAAAAACCCAAGATCATCACATATGGACTTACAGGCCTTCTTTTTTTCTCTGACTTTGGAGAGCTTGGTCTGGAAAGCATCTGCGGTGCTTCACCTCACACACAAGCACGGACAGCTCACCCACGGAAGGGAGAATGATCTCCTAACTCAGCTGCAGTGCTCTGGCAGATGGCAAAGATAGGGACACCTCTTGATGTGAGTCACTGGCTTGTGCTGCTGCTCTCAGCAGCATCAGCCTATAGTGGAAATATCAATAAAAGTGAAATTTCTTGCAAATTTCCTATGCCTGAGCCAGTCTTGGTCTCTGGGCAGGGCTGTAGGCAAGGAGGAAAATGGGAAAGGCCCTTGTTATGTCTGAGCACATGAATGAGATGTTACCTGCCCTTCTGAGTGGGAGCCTCATCTCTCACCCTGGCTGAACCAGGGTAATTGTCCCAAAGTCCCAACCCTCACAACAGCTTTTAAGTCTAATTGATTTCCCAAATACTTTTTTTTTTCTTTTTTTTTTTTTTTTTTTTTTTTTTTTGCGAGCTGATGACCAGGTGCTTTGTGCCTCATACAAGATCAGGAAATTAACACTTAATTCCCATCTCCAGCATTGCTTCCTGCCTAACACAGGGTGTTTGGCAAGAATAAGGGTTTTTTTCCTTAATCCCGCATAATCCCTTTCTCAATGGATCTTCTTTTGCAATGCTAAGGATGATTTATACCCCAGAATAGCAATCCGAGGAATTTAGCTGATATGGACCAAAGTCCAAGAAGCAGAGAGAATGTGAGGTTTAGAAAACATCAGCTAGGAATCTGAGCATTGAGATGTCAGCAGAGAGCTCTTCTCAGCTGTATTTTATAATCTGGAAAGAAGAGAAAAGGATGAAAGAGGATTTAAGATAACCTGTTTTACTCTAAAATGGAGAGGACATGTTTACATTTTGCCAGAGTGAGAAATACTTGAACTTTTAGAGCTGGACTCTGACCATGCCCCATGCACACACCAAGAGGCTAAAATAAAGCTTATGATGCAGATGGCCTTGGAAGTGGATGACTTCATATTTGGACACTATCCTATGTTGTGCATAGGGAGGAGTGAAATGTATTCATAAACCAAAAGTCTCACCACGTTTCAGGATCTGCCATATGATGAAAACATGTCTAAATATGGTGCAGAGATAAGAGAGACTACTCAAAGCATCAGGACAAGTACTAAGGTCTTGTCACTGTTCTTGTTTAGACTAACTCCTAGTGAAGGCAGAAGACATCTCCACCCAAACAGCAGTTCAAAAGCATTCTAGCTCTGTCCCATAACTGTTGTATTCTCCCTTCATCTACTGATCAGTTCCCCTCCAGAAAGAAATGTGCAAAGCAAACTCTCTGCTTTTCATGGGCAGCTGTTGGCATCTCTGAAAATTTTATTTTCAATCCAAAAAATCTCAGTCCTGCCCAGGATAATAAAATTCTGCAAGTTTAACAGATAAATGCCATGCAATAAAAATATATACATATTCTCTGTTCCCTCCTACCAGTGACACTGTGCACAGAATGCTGTGAGAGCATTCTGACCTGATGAACTGAACATGTTATTATTTGTAAATGCAACATTTGTAAAATGCAACTTGAAACAGATTTTGCAGGAGGTCAATTCCTTGAGTGCTGTATCATCAGGCAAAGACAATACATGCTGTGAGACATCTTCCAAAACTCTGTAATGTTTCCAATACAGCATCACTCATTCAGAATGGAAGCATCTGTAGGCAAAAAAAAAAAAAAAAAAAAGACAGCAAACATTACATTTTCCAATGTCAGAAATGCAAGGCGCGGTCAAACACACTGTAAGGTAGAGTAGAGGAGATTAAAATGTTAGGAATACTTGTTTGCTTGTAGAGAGGTACTCAGTGGGAAATTAGGGCATTCCGTGTTCTAAAAAGCCATCATTCCCTAAGCCACTCCTCCCAAGCCTGCTGGCATGACTGAGTACCTCCAGCAACAGAGCACACCTGGGCTCTCCAAGCCTGCCCTCAGCTGGAATGCTTTGGCTTACCTGCAGCAGCTGCTAACCCCTGGTGTTGCCGAGGTGGCTCACTCCAATCCGGTCCAGAGGAACTCCAAACCTTCTCTTAGGCAGCTCAAGCACTTTCCTGCACGAGGGAAACGAGTAGAGAGGGAGGGAAACAAATGGGAAAAGACATCTATGAATAATCAGGATGTTACTACATGTTTGATACCTGCATTCATCCCACTAACACCTTATTGTTCAGATAGAACAGTGTGCAGGAACAGCCAAAGATGTGTGTCTAAAAATAAGATTCTGCACTTGTCTGACAAAAGGCTGCAGTTGCAGCTGTTTTACAGACTGGCTGAGCTTGATCCACTACCCCTATTTTTATTTGGCAGCAAACTAACTTTACAGGTTAACTGCTATTCATAAAAGAAAGGTGGTACACTGCATTTATAAAGGGGAATTGTTTCCTGCACAGTATCACACACTGCAGGTCACCCATTACCTGGGTCTTGGAAAGCTCCAGGGCCAGCTGAGGCTGAAATTAGCAAGGAGGTAGAAAGTATTGCACAGTAATAGAGAGGACAAGTCAGAAGTGCTCTAACAGGGTTTTTCTATAGGTTCTTTGGCAATGTATGTTCATCAGAATTCTATAGGAGCAGTCCTTCAATGAGATTGAAAATGGGAAGATTTTGGGGTTGATTTTTTTCCCTGTATATGGTAAATTTCCTGACAATTTGATGAGTTAGGGCGTGAGGAATGTGTGAAAGAATTTCTACACAGCAATATTTTTTTTTTTTGCAGTTCTTTTTATATAAAAGAATAAGTTTTCCCATCTTAATTCAGCATTTTTGGAGCATTTTTTTTCCACCAGCAGAAGTTTTATTTTAATTAGCTGTGGAAATGGCAAGAATTCCTGCAGCTGAGAACAACCACAACTTTTGCCCTCAGAAATACTTGTCAGTGAAATGCAAGTCCAAGAGAAGCCCTGGAAGATTAATTCTTTATCAGTCCTTGCTGAGGAACACAAATAAAAATAAATTTTGTTCTGTAAGTCGGCAACTGCAAAGTAACAAGCAGGAGGGAATGCTGCGGTGCACTCGAGGATAACTTTGTGCCAGCATTGTTAAGCTGCCTCACCCCGGGGCTCCGGGTTTGTGCACAGCCACCCAGAGCCGTGCAGCCCCTGGGCTCATCTGAGCAGCTCCATCCCTCACCCCTCTCTGCACCCAGTGCATCATTCCAGCACCCACAGCCCTGCCGGCTCTGTCCCGGCTGCTTGAGCTCGGGGATTGGGAATTGGGAGCGCCACATCAGTGCTGCAGAGTTGGAGAGCATCACAAAGGAAGGGGAGCCTTTTGTTCGGCCTGTCCCTTCCTCAGGTATCCCTGCCCCAAGCCCGAGGGAAGGCAAAGGGAAGGAAAGCCAGGATGCTCAGCCTGTCGCCTCGAGGGAAGCACTGCTTTCCCTGCAGTGGGGAGGCACAGGGGGGCACTTGGGCTGTCAGAGCCATCCTGAGCCTGCCTGGAGAAAAGGGGAGGTGACTCCTCGGAATGGAAGGGGATGGAGAAGGTGGGGCGGGGCGGTGTTTCTGCCCACCGGAGCGGTGCCACTGCCATGCTGGGTGTTCAGAGCAGGGATGGGAAGGTGTGTCAGTGAGCTGTGCCTGTGCTTAGAGCAGGGATGAGGAGCGGTGCCTGGGCTGTGCCAGTGCTCAGAGCAGGGATGAGGAGCGGTGCAGGGATGCGGAGCGGTGCAGGGATGAGGAGCGGTGCAGGGGTGAGGAGCGGTGCAGGAATGCGGAGCGGTGCCACTGCCATGCTGGGTGCTCAGAGCAGGGATGAGGAGCGGTGCAGGGATGCGGAGCGGTGCAGGGATGCGGAGCGGTGCAGGGATGAGGAGCGGTGCAGGGATGCGGAGCGGTGCAGGGATGCAGAGCGGTACAGGGATGAGGTGCGGTGCCACTGCCATGCTGGGTGCTCAGAACAGGAATGAGGAGCGGTGCAGGGATGCAGAGCGGTGCCACTGCCATGCTGGGTGTTCAGAGCAGGGATGCGGAGCAGTGCAGGGGTGAGGAGCGGTGCAGGGATGAGGAGCGGTGCAGGGGTGAGGAGCGGTGCAGGAATGCGGAGCGGTGCCACTGCCATGCTGGGTGCTCAGAGCAGGGATGAGGAGCGGTGCAGGGATGAGGAGCGGTGCAGGGATGCGGAGCGGTGCAGGGATGCGGAGCGGTGCAGGGATGCAGAGCGGTACAGGGATGAGGTGCGGTGCCACTGCCATGCTGGGTGTTCAGAGCAGGGATGCGGAGCAGTGCAGGGGTGAGGAGCGGTGCAGGGATGCGGAGCGGTGCAGGGATGCGGAGCGGTGCAGGGATGCGGAGCGGTGCAGGGATGCGGAGCGGTGCAGGGATGCGGAGCGGTGCCGAGCAGCGGCAGCGCAGCCCAGCGTCCCCTCTTGCGGCCGCCCCGCGCCACGGCAGCCCCGCCACTCTCCGCTCGCAGTCCCCGTGCTGTCCCGTACGAGGGACAAAGTGGCTTTTTCTACTTAAAACAGCCTTGTCTAGGATTCCCGCAGGTTCTTTCTCCCTGCCTCCCGCATACTTTTCCCGTGCCTTTCAAAGCGCTACAAACCGGTGCTGATGCCAGACCAGGATCTGGGCTCTCCTGTCATCGCTGGGTGTCACAACGAGCTGTGAAGCGGACTAACATTTGATCTGCTCTTTTCCAAAAGTTTCTGCTTTGTGCCAGGCAGTGCACACACTGCATTGATTCGGGGGGCTCAATCTATAGATCAGCTCTCCCGAATTAATTTCCTGGTCTCTAAAGGTGACCGGCTCAGCTCGTACAGGACTGAGCTGTTATTTGCTGGCTGAGCCACCGGGACAGGGTGCTCAGTCCTCTGTCTTACTCCTCCAAGTGCAGCAGCCTCTGCCAGTTTCTATCTAAAGGTACTTTTCTGTCAAAAGCCTTATTACTCTTTCACAGCATCCGTCTGATCTGCAGTCCATGCTGCTGGTGGTGTCAGACTATCACTGCAGTGATCAAAGCAGCTCAGGTTGTTCTGATAAATGGCTCAACCCCAAAATTAAAAGGTAAACAGCTCCCCCAGAGTGATAATCCCAACTCAAAACTGCAAACTGTGCTGATGCTGCTGGGAAAGGGGCAATTTTGTGCAGCATGTCACTCATTTTCATGAGCTCATTATTCAGAGACAAACTGGTTTTTACCACCATCTCCCTTTTTATTTTTTTTTTTGTTTGCTTTTTGCTGTTGTTTTGGGGAATTTTTTGTTTGTTTCTTTGTTTAGGTTTCCCCTTGTACTGCATATAGAACGAAAGATTTCCATCCAAAGAAACATGAGAAAAATTTGGAATACCATGTATCTTTGCAAAAAAATTATAGCTTAAAAAAAGACCTTTTTTTCTTTGCCTGGAAAGGGAAAACATGCTAAAAAGCAAATGAAGAGTGAGCTGATTTTGATATCTTGAAGAGGCAGACAGAACAGAATAATTCTACTTAAGGTTTTAAGAATTTTGTATTTTATCGCTTTTGGCTGCAGCCAAACAGTCCTAGTGGCAGACTGGGTGGATAAATGGAAAAACAACAAGAAAATATTGCAAAACTTGGTTTGAAAAAAGCTCTTGTAATATTGACTGGCTCTCGTGAATACTTTCCATTTCCAGATTAAGCTTTAAGCATGTTATTAAATACTTTGTGGCATTAGGGATTCCATCCAAGAGAAGACAGTTACCAGAAGAGCAGAACAAGACAGGCAAGCTCTCTCAGACACAGGAACAGCCCCTAAAGCTGTGCCCCAAACTCGCTCTCTCTCCCCAGCCATCGAGAATCATATATTGCTTAGCCCTGTTATAAACAAGTTAATCTTCAAACACACATTGCTGCATTGTTTAAACCCTGATTTATCCAAAACTAATGGAGGTCTTGAAGCTCATTCTACTGTCTGCCTGCCCATTTTCATGATGTGTCCTCCATCTTTCTGTTCAAAACATCCACTCCACCACACTTTCTTCCCATCCCAGTCTCAGGAGCACCCAGCCCTGCTCTCTGCTTGTGAACCTCAGGCACCTTTCTTGCTTTAGCAAAACTCATGGTCAGATGTGAAGTTTTAAACTGAGTGTTAGTTCAAACCAGTGGAAAGAAGTGTACTGGAAAGTCACATGTACTGGGATGTTGTCTGGTAGCTGTGCAGCACTGTAGGGATAAATGAACTGGTGAATGTATGGTACATTACAGCTGAAGGGTGAATGTATTGTACATTACAGCTGAAGGGTGGCACACTGTTTGAAAGGTTTCTGATCAGAGGCACCTCACAGCTGACCAGCAAACAGGCTGAGGGCTAAAGCTAACCCATCAGTGTCCAGAGCACCTAGCAACAGCCTTCCTCCAACTTTATCACTGGCAGGAGCACTTAAGAATTTACCTCTGTTTGCCTTTTGCATCCACAGAGGATGAAGAAATTCTGTCAATGGGGGAGCCAAATCCTGGGAAGCTCCTTTTCTTCTTGGTCTCAGTCACCTCGTTCTCCAGAGACACCAAGTCATCAAGAAGGAACAGTTTGGCTGCCAGGTTGGTGGCTGACTTCTCTTCACTGGCAATGGGATGGTTTCCCACACCCAGAGCAGCAGAAGGCTCCAGAGGCTGCAGAAGAAAGCAGTAAAATTTCAGTTTGCTGGCTGCTCAGGTCCCAGGATAAAAAAAGAATTCAACCAGTGTCATAGGAGCAGTCCTGTAAATAAAGAACTACCAGGACACTCACTGAAACTGGGACAATGTTTTAAAACAAAGTTCCTTCTCTGGAATGTGGCCTGTTTCCATCAACAGGATTTTGCTGTCAAAGTCTGGAATTTTTTTTTATAGAACTGAACTTGCTTTCATTATTCTTGCTAGAAATATTAAAATATGTTACTTCACAAAGCCTATTTCTTCAGGCCATCCCACTATCATTATCTCAGCACTGTGATTAGTATAATTTATAGCATGAGCTGACTAATGTAATCATTCTGAAAAATGCAATCACCATTGCCTGACTCCAGTATCCATTCTGATAGTTTTCAGGAAACTTATATTTGTTTTTTTAAATGAATGCTAATAAGTAGTAATGAAAACTTCTACAGAAGTTTCCATACATATCTGACAAATTAATTGTTATGCAAAAAATGCCCCCAAAAAAACTTGCTTAGCCCTGTCATTCAAAGAAATTGTGCAGTAACACTACCGGGAAGAAGGAAAGGAAAGAACATGCTCTTGAATTGACACAGCAGTTTGAACCTTAATTACAACATTAGGCTTAACACTATTTCAAACCCAAACTTTGCTATAAGAATAGCTGAGAATACTGGGGTCTATCGAGAAAGAAATGAAATTAATCCAAGTGAAACAGCTGCTTTGCATGTGACAGAAAAATACAGGGCACAATTAGTAATTAGTCTACAAAAGCAAACTCAGATTGTTGTCTCTTTGAATGAAATGCACCTTCCTGTTCACTTGATCTTCACAGAATTAGATAGAAACATTACAGCTTAGAGTGTCAAACAAGTTTTATTCTCTTTAGAAGCACACTGCTGTTGTTATTCACACATGGTGGGTTTAGCACACGTGTGAAGGAAGGCAGCACATGAATGATGAACTCCAGTTGTGGTGGGGATGTTCCCCACTGCTGATGGGTGGCAGACAGTGATGGAGTGCACAAAACTGTGACCTTTACCTGAGGAGGAGCACACGACCACAATGATCACACCAATGGTGTAGCACTGTTGAAAACTTTATAAAGGATTTCACATTGTCCCCTGACTCTGCTTTTTGTAAGCCTCAAGTACACAGAGCAGTCCTTTCTGTTCTCATTTAGGGTTATAAAACTTTCATAGAGGTTTGCAACTGAATGATGCCTTCAAAAAAGACTGAACCCTTCCTTCTGGTTAGTGGGGGTAAATATCTACAATATCAGTTGAAACTAGAAGCCAACAAGAGTTTCTGCTGTTGAATACCTTGCAACACCACTTACTTTGTCTTCAAAAGATGTAATGGAATTGTGAGAAGTGACAGCTAAAATGATAATCAGAAGTAGAAAACAATTTTCTTCTGGTAAACCACTGAAGAAAGTACAATTTCACAGATAAGCAGAGATGAGAGTGGGTGTATGTGGTATAGTGGAGGGTTTGCAAACTTAGGAAGAGCAATGAAATGGATAAAAACTAGTCATTTTTTTCCTCAAGAGAAAGAGCTTCCCAGTCCACCCAGTGAAGTCACCAGATGGTGTATTTAAAATAAATATAAGGAGTTACTTTTTAAACACAGCACACAGATGAAGGGAAGGCACTGGCAAAGAATGTCATGGATACTGAGATTTTGAACTGGTTCAAAGACAAATTCTGGCCCATCAGCAGCTAAACATGCCCTGGCCCGGTGCAGGTCTCTAGATCTAGAAGTCTGCAGAGACGTTCTGCTCTTAATTTCTTTTCACAAAAATCTGTCACTGGTGGAGGCAGGATACCAGGTGTCTGTGGCACCAGAAGAGCAGCTGCTGCAGCACTTTTGGAGAATCATGCTTATGTGAAGACAGAAGGTAGAGGGATCCATCAGGATTCTTCAGAAGACATCACATGTTTAAGTTGATCTTAAAACCTATGTAAAAACCCTAGAGGCAAACAGTGCTACTTTGAGTTAACTTTTAGATACTTGACTTTTTTTTTTTTTTTTTTTTTTTTTCTTCATGGCATGAAACCATTACATAAATACCTTTTCTGCCAAATCTGCCTTATGTCAAGATGACATAAAAATAGGGAATGCAGTAGAAGTATTTTCAGGTGCAACCCCTACATATCATCCTGGGTGAAACATGAGACAACTCATCTATTTCATCTGCTGCTTTCCTCTGCAAGCTTAGGCAAGTGACTTTGCTCCCTCCCCCTCCTGGTCTAGTCCATCTCCTTTAACTTGTAATTTTTGTGCAGGTGATCTTTTCCCAGGGATCTCCTTATGGCTTCTGAAAGTTTCAGCTTTCTCATGCTATTATTTGTCTGTAAAAAGAAGAATTAAACATTCCCTCCAGTGTTAGAGAAGTTTGCTTTTCCCCCCTTCCATCACCTCCTTCCCCTCTTCAGGAAGCTCTCTATCCACTGGACAATGTTTTAACACACAGGAAATCCCCAGGTGTTTTGGGAGAGGCTGTGAGAGTTTGGGTGAGGCCTCATTCAGTCTGTTCCCCTAGAGCCATGCAATTGGCATCTCTCTCTTCTCGAGGCTCCTCCTTGGCCCTTTCAGAGTCAATACTGATCCTACACCTCCCAGCAGTGTTTGGATACTGCAGTGTCCTCCTCACCCTGTGGCTAAGAATGCCCAAGGAAGAGCAGTTATGTGACAACCACCAGAAACCTTCACCTACCTCTGGAGCTGCCTGTGCAAGGAGCACAGAGCTGGAGTTCCACCACAGCAGGGCAATCACAAGGGCCAAATGCACCACCACGAGCTGGAACTGCAGCATCTGCAAAGGAGAACAATCTATAAATTACTCCACAGCTGCATCCCCTGAGGAATCTTGCTCCACAGGTCTTAAAGAAGTAAAAACAAAGGGAGACTCTCCCCATGGCTGTTAATAAGTTTTATCTGTCAGAGTCACTGCATAAAGATAATGCCAGCTGAATGCTCTTCACCCTTGCATGCAGAATCAGCTCCCTCCTCTGCTCCTTCCTACACAGCCCTGCCAATCTTGTGATTCCTTTCTGCACAGCAGTGCAATCCTTGCAGCAGCAGCAGTGAGGAATGCAAACTTGCCTTAAAACCAGATGAACTGCATGCTCACTTGTAAGCAGGGAGCCTTTGGCTTGTAGCCCAGGCTGCCCCTGACCTCCTCACAAGCTGGAGAGGTGCTTAAAGCTGTGACAGAAGTCATATACTCTTCCAGTAGTATTTTGAAGGCAAGGCTGCATTTTGCTAGTTCCCAACACTATCTAGTGGGAGCCACAACCTCCAATGGCATCCTGCAATAAAATTATTCACAATAAGCTTGCAGAAGGATCTGTTGCTGAGGCTGGTGGTGGTCTGACCATGTGTCACAGCTGCAGAACTGCAGATGCCCACCAAGCTTTTAAATAATGCAGGGAGTTTTGGAGGCTCAGGATGGGGAAGGTGCTTGGTTACCTCTGGACGTGGGTTTAGCCTACATTGTTTAAGCACTTGTTTGGATCCAGATCGTAAAACCTGATGTGCCTTCAATTCCCCAGGTGGGAGTGCTTCAGATGATGTTAGGAAGAGCTGGGCTGGGGCCTTTTGCCAAAGGCATCTGCTAATTTGCTGTTTTCTCTGTCTCCAGGTCCTGCCCCAGAGTAAAATTCAAGTCTGATTCTGCCATTCTTTGCTGAGTCTCCACTTGGCAAAAGCAGAAACACAAAGAGTGTATAAATATATACATATACATATATAATTATTATTATTCCTATTGTTCATAGGGGATGGGCAGTTAGGAAGAAAGCTGCTGGCTTCTCTGCAGGGGTGAGGCAGACAGTTCACTGGAATCAAAGGGCAAAGTCAAAGCACTAAGGCACCTGGTACCACTGTCTCTCAGCCCCACAGCAACCCCCATTGCTTGACATAAACACAGAGGTTTGCCTGGGTGTTTTTAAAGTTGGAACCCTCTACAATGTATATTTTTGTATGTGGGCGTGCATTGAAATTTGAAGTAGCAGTCTACTACCTTCACAGATAACCACATCCTGATTATTTGGATACAGAGATGTAAAAATAAACGGCAAGGTTAAAAACATATGTTTATTATGGTTTTAAGATCTGTGCTAGTATTCATTCAAGCCAAAGACTAAAGAGCTAAAAATAGCAACTGGTACACCAATGAAAATAAACAGTAAGGCACCTGCAACACTAAAGACATTTGATTAAATGGTCAGAACTCAACGCCAGTGAAATTAGAAGTGGAGAAAATTTTAAGGACTTAAAGCTTGGCTCTACTTCCCAAAGAAATAAGCAGCTAAAGAGGTGGTGTCACTGACTGAAAAGGGAGCAAAACTTGAGTCCAGCAAGATCCTGTTGTGGTGATTTTCATGCAGCAATGGGACCAAGGCAGGAGAAAAAGGCAGGGTCATTGTAGTGGAACAGTTCGGCTTTAGAAAAGTAATTGCAAAAAAACTAATAATGCAGTGAGGATTATGTAAATACAATTAAAATCACACTTTCTTCTGCCAGTCTGGAACTTAGTTTTACCACCTTCAACCATGTCATAGGACTTTAGTTATTAAAGAAGTTATTGGTATTTCTCCTTGAGCGTATTTGTTGCAATTGGCCAAGCAGAGCCCTCTGGCCAAAAAGGGGCTCTACCAGCCATGCTCTGGCTATTGCTTCACCCCATCCATATTTTACCTTGACACATTCCAAGAGAGGCTTTTAGAGAGGCTGGACAGTATTTCTTCCTGAAGGAGAATAACCAAAGCTCTGACAAGCTTTTCAAGATGCACCCTTAATTGAGTTTGAAATTCATTGTATTGAAATTGTATCCTTCCAGAAAATTCTTCACCACCAACTTCACAGAGCTAGGTCAAGGGATTGGTGTATAATTCCATGTCTGTAGTATCTCAGGGTCTTGTGTTATCTGACATAAAATATGGTTTTGCCTTCTCTAAATGAAATTGCAAGCCTGAATTCAGACATATTTATGTGTCTTAGCGATACTTTAGCTTGAAATGTGTCAAAACTAAAATTCCTCATATAATTAGGTATCTTTGTTGCTGGTCCAATTAAAATAAAATTAAAGATAAAAGAAAGAACAGTATTCTACCTTATCAAAGCAGGATAAACATACAAAACTTTTACTTAGGAACTGGTGCAGTGCCATTTTCCAAGAAAATATCACAAGGAAGCAAAACGCTTTACTGAACAGAAACTGTTAAGTCTCCAACATCAAACCAAAGGACTTAAAAGATGTTTTTCTTACAGACAAAGAAACAAAACCCAAAATGACATCCTGAAGATAAGTGGGCTGAACAAACCTCAGACAGAATGCAATTCATCACCAAGCTCCAAATCCATTGCCTGTCAAAAATGGTAACAGCCATCATTGTTCTTACCCATTTGATCCACGATATTTCACATTACTGTGGAGATTACTCTGCAAGCATAAATCACAAGGGACTTATTTTTCTTACTGGCCTGTTAGCAAGAGAACCGAGGCAAGACATCAAGCCTTGCTCTGCAATCCTTCACTGCAGCTGCCAGCCTGTCCTGATGGCTGTGCTCTGCTCGTGGCTGTGACACCGCAGGGGACATGCCCAAGTCACCTGCAAACGAGGACCTTGCTCTTGCAACCAGCACCTTCTGGCCAAGCCTGGAAACCCCTGAGGTTTTGCCTGGATGCCACCAGAAGGACCTGATGCAGAGCCAAGGCTTGGCTGTCCCACAGGCATTGGGAAGCTCCTGGTGCCTCTTGGCCTCCAGTGCTCCTCTTAGAACACTGGGACAGCACTGGGAAGTGATGAACTTCATCACCTGCTAGCCAGGAAGGTCTCTGGGACCGTGCAGATTCCAGCCAGCTGGGGGAAATCAGGTCTGCAAAGCAGTTACTGAGCTGTTTTGTTACCGCTCCTGCAGCACAAAATAGAATATTAACTGCTGCTACCTATCTTAATTGAATTGATTAATCAAACTGAGTACTCACACTGGCCTTGCTATGATTGCATTGCACGCCCAACAGGAATATACCTTGGCCAAAAAAATTATGATGGATGATTATCTTACCAAAAGAACAACTTTAAAATGGCTTGTGTGAAGCTCTAAGAGTCTGCTCCTGCTGGAACAAATTTTCCTTACTTTTAAAAGTCGCAAAAGGTATCCTCTGATCACCACAAAGCCAAAAATACTGCCCCCACCAGTCCCAATGATTTCAGAACTGCTGAAGGACCCTGTGTGTCTCAGGTGCAATCTTGTAGTTATGTAAATGTCAAGGAAAAAGGATAAAAATCAAAACAAATCCCACCCTCAGAAGAAAAGGCAGATCTCAAAAATAGGCTAGAGCGGTGTTTTTGTTGTCATCCCACAGACAAGATATGGAGCATTTCTCACATATTGCTTTCCAAAAGATACTGAAGTCACACATTGAAACATGGGGCTTTAGTGACAAAATGAAATGTAAGCTGCCAGTGTCAGGCTCTTTATGTTATTAATAATGTGTTTTCTGGAGTAGGCATAGATTTTTAAACAATGCCATATGTTTTGTTATACATGGCACAGACATTGACAACTTCTACAATGCATTTTTCCTTCTATTTTCAGTTTCATGACTATATAGATATATAGAGGCAGGTAGGTTTCATCTAGTGGAACCAGAGAGAACTTGAAGTTCATAGACTTATGCAAGAGGCTTATGATTAGTTATTTTGAGATAACTAGGTATTTTTGTGTCCCGAAAGAAACTTTTGTCAGACAGTATTTCAAGGCCAAGCATGCTCCACTTCCCGAAAATGAAGCTCCTTCAAGGTTTCTCAAGGTAGTCAAGAATTGTTGATTGATTTCTGAAGCCTTCATTTCAATAATTGCATTCCCTGTACCCTGATTCTGGTGCTCAGTCCTGACATGTTCTCATATCACCACGTTAGTCACCTTTGCCTGTTTGACAGCCGTGCTTTGGCTCAGAAGTTGCTCGAGCACACAGCTGTTCCTACCACTTGTACTCAGATAAAACAGAGTTTTATGTCATGGTTTCAGTCGTGGTTTAGTCACTGCAGGGCTGGCCTGGACCCTGCCCACACAGGACACAACAAGAAAGGATGGAAAGGTGATCCTCTAATTCCCATGAGGAGTTCAAGAAGGGCATAAATGAACACGGCCCTGCCAGGGCACCTTGGCTGGGCAGACACAAGGGTGATTCAGGAACAAATTGACTGACAGAGGTGGGCAAACACTTGTGAAAAGTCTAGTCATTCATGGTTTCATCTCTTCCTTTGAAAACAGGGCATGAAACCAAATGGCCATACAGAATAAATGAGGACAATTTTCTTTAGAATGGGCAGGAAGGACACAGGTTGGACATCCTGCAAAGCTGGCAACATATTTACACTTTTACACTGTGTAATAAATCCATTTTTAGCAACAGATTTCAAAAATTAAAAGCCCCAAACTCACATATATTCCATGAAAGTAGGAGACCTTGAAGTAACAGACAAACAGAAGTGATGAAGCTCATCTAGAAGGGGCTTATTAAAAAAGAAGGATGTTATGAAGTGTAAGAAAATATCTCTTAGTGGGAAAAAACTATTTGCACCTTTCCTCAAAAGATAATTGAGTAAGCTGCAGTTTTCCTGGTCTGTGCAATGGAATACAAAACATTATTAGACTATTCTTCATTGCTAACAAACTCTCAACCCTACACTGTTTATATATGTACTGACTAAACATGATGACTTTTTTAAACATTTCTAACAATTTGACATTCAGCTTTCTTTCTTCTTTTCCACAAGAGCCAAAAACTTTTCATTGTTAGAG